GGCCTTGAATAGTAGGCTGAGAAGTGAGTTCTGGCTACTAGGTACGACATATATATATATATATATATATATATATATATATATATATATATATATATATATATATATGTCGTACCTAGTAGCCAGAACGCACTTCTCAGCCTACTATGCAAGGCCTGATTTGCCTAATAAGCCAAGTTTTCATGAACTAGTTATTTTTCGACTACCTAACCTACCTAACCTAACCTAACCTAACTTTTTCGGTTACCTAACCTAACCTAACCTATAAAGATAGGTTAGGTTAGGTTAGGTAGGGTTGGTTAGGTTCGGTCATATATCTACGTTAATTTTAACTCAAATAAAAAAAATTTGACCTCATACATAATGAAATGGGTAGCTTTATCATTTCATAAGAAAAACATTAGAAAAATTATATTAATTCAGGAAAACTTGGCTTATTAGGCAAATCGGGCCTTGCATAGTAGGGCTGAGAAGTGCGTTCTGGCTACTAGGTACGACATATATATATATATATATATATATATATATATATATATATATATATATATATATATATATATATATATATATATATATATATATATATATATATATATATATATATATATATATATATATATATATATATATATATATATATATATGAGTGTGTTTGTGTGTGTAAATCACGAAAATTAACATGTGATGAAAAATGTGACAATGTCAGACCACGATGGAAAACTGAAACAAGAATATCTTTAAGTACTTTCGTATTTTAGTAATACATCTTCAGAAGGAATGATTTACATGTCAGTAAGTTTGGACATTATACAGTATAGGCAGGAGAGAGAGCTGAAGTGAAGTGAGGTACAATGACAAATATATGAATGGGATTAGGTGGATATAAATAGGAGCTGCATCATATGGGCTTATAGGCCCGTCATGGATTATAATAGCATAAAATAGTGGATATTAACAATGAGTTAGACAAATGTGTATCAATGATCCTACTCAAATTGCCCTTTAGTATGTTTCTCACTTCTCCATCTCATTTTTCTCTCTTGGTCATAGAGGCCAGTTGGTGAGCAGACATATCTGGTAGTGATAAGATGAATATTTTTAGAATAATCTATTGGTAATTGTAGTTACAGTTTGAGACATTTCGTATATAGTTTTTAATTCCTTATATATATAAATCATTTTCTTTTACTGTAATGCACTCACTGAAATTTTGTTTATAGAAAATAAATTAATTATATATCTCCATTAATAGAATACCTTATTTTCAGATCTGTACAAATAGTATTTACTGAAAGTTTATAACATCATCATGGCTGAAGTCAATATTGAAACTCTGTACAGAGAGTTCGTCAGCAGATTGCTGCTAAGCAACAAGATGTCTGAAGTGATGACTATAATAAAGCCAGAACACACAACCGAGGAAATGTTTTCCTATTTGTGGAGCCTGGATGAAGCCCATGCGACTCTAACGCCAGTTCTGCACCCATCAAGCAAGTCAAAAGATGAGTCTTATGTGCACTGTAGACAGGGAGACATAGCCTACCGCCTTCATGATCTAGTTCAGGCATTAAGCTCTTATAATTTGGCCATATTATCTGCGCCACATCCAGACACAATCACAGATAGTCCTAAGAACTCTGGCAAAGACAAGTATGAAGAATTGGCCCAAGCTTATGAGTCACGATCTGTTGTGCTTTATGACCTGAAGCAGTATACAAAATGTTCAGATGACATTGACCGGACTCTGGAACTTGCCTGTGTACAGTCACGTACAAAATTATTAGACAGGAAAAGTATTTGTCTGAAATTAATATCAGAGGGTAAAGACAAGGCATTTGATGCTTCAGCTGAAGCTTTAAACACCTTTGAACCATGTTTTGCATATATAAACCGTGCGGCCCCTAAGTTAGCTGACCATAACCCAGCCATACCGTCACTCAGCAGTGCTGTCAAGCTGGCTTACACTCACTCCCAAGGGCGCCACCTGATTGCTGATAGAGACATCAACCCAGGTAATTTGTGTAATAAGTTATGAGTAAATTTTATAAAGTTTTAAAATTAATTTTTTTTTCTGTGAGGGGTTCCCTGATGGCTCCCTGAACTTCCCACCTGGTTATTGTAGATTGCTGCCTTTATTTAGGGTTCTCTTCCATGAGAAGGCTCGAGTCTTTCCCTTCCTCATTCTCTCATTGGCCTCACTCCAGGTACTGCATGTGCTTCAGCTTCTCTGTGGGGCCAAGTTGCTGCTGTGTTTACAGCTTTAGGGTGCTAGGCTTAGACTCAGTTATATGTTTCTCTGGGGAATATGCATTACACACAGATGTGATGGAATGTAAAAATGAATTTAGAGATAACTCTCATTACAAATCTTCAAGAAATGTGCAAGTACAGTAATTCATTCAAAGTAATCTACTACCAGAAATTTGATCAAATTATCAAAAATTTTCAAAGTGTTGATAGATGGTTGAAACATTTACACTGCCTACTGGATGGGTGTTTCCATGTTTAGAACAGTTGCTGCTTCTTCCCGTTTGCATATGACACTGCATTTCATGTGTCATCTATGTAAATAGAGAGCAAGATGTGCACCATGATGATAATTAGTATGCTTGGTCTGCTAGGTTATGCATAATAATAATAATAATTAGTGGTAATGTCTTCTAATAGACATAATAACATGGGATAAAACCCACATTTATATATTTGTGAATTTTATGTAAAGATTTACGTCTTTACAGCTCTCCTTAGTGCTTTGTTAAGGTCTGAGCATATCATTTGAACGAGACTTACATCTCAACGACTTAATGCATCGGAATGATGGTGGACAAAATTTATCGGGATCTAGCCTGTACTTTCCCTTGAAATCCCAGAAGGCACGCCTAGGAAGTTCCTCAAAGCATGTATCAAAGAGGCACCCTTTCTCAGTCCTGAGGGGCACATGTATAAGCCAGTAGATGGCTTTGCTATGGGGTTCCCTCTTAGTGTCCTATTTGCAAATGTTTACAAGAGTAACGACGAACAGAAAGTCCTTGTTGACAGGCATAAAACTTGAGTGTACACTGTAGACATGTGGATGACATATTCCTGCAGGCACCTCATATTGAGCACTTGCTGTGGCTTAAGGATGCATTCAAACGAAGTTCAATGCTAAGGTTTACTTGCGAGAGTAAGAATGTAGGTAGTGTACTACTATGCCTGGTAGATGTAATAATCTCAGAAAGGAATGGTGGCTTTAAAATTTCAGTCTTCACTGATGGTACTAACATAGGAATCTGGCTTAATGTTAAAAGGTGAGTGCCCGAATAGATACAAGCAGTGTTGTCAATGCCTCTGTCAACTGTGCCATCACACAGCTCCAGTTGGAGGAAGGTTGATGAGAAACTCATGAGAAGGATCGTCCTCCGCTTCCAGACAGGAACCGAGGACGCAGCAGTGTTCCCCGCTGGATCGCCACATTGAGACGTTGAAACAAGAAACTGGCAGTCCTTGGGTTTCTGGTGATGTCAACGAGCCTGGAACCGAATTCTTTTGAGAAATACACCACGGCATTCCTTCCCCAGGAGCCGAGCATTTCAATCACTATGGGAACAAAGGCATATTGACTTTCCAATCACCTGCATTTGGCTGATTTTCCTATTTCTCTGTGATTGGCCACCCAGCCTGCTTGATCAGCACTGAAGTGTATGTAGTTGTCAGCCAGGGTGGATACACATATGTAGTCCCACACCAGCTGTTTGTTCCTCTTCCAGAGGTATATTGTGATGCCATCTGGGCAAAGTGTGGGGTCATCCGGGATTTGGTTCACTTGGATGCAAGATTCTCTCTCTGCTGGGCACTTGAGCTGAGGTAAGGCTCCTCTTGATGATGTCATTAACCTTGTGTCTTGCATACCAGCCCTTGGAGCTTCTGCAGTGCAATCCACGAAGCCCATATTCGTCTGCTTTCACTGTTGCAAAACACTTGTACCCAGTATGACTTCGGTTTGCCAAGGCTGAGGGGCACTGCTGCACAAAGGGATTCTGAATCTAGACTCGTGTCTGTTGCCGACATGGGTACTGCCACGAGGAAGCCTCATACATGGGGGAACGCACTGCTCTGAGGCAGGCTTTCTCCTTGTCTGATGTTGCAACACAGGGCATGGCATCAACTATTTTTTCCACTAGTGGTTGGTCCCAACTGGACTGTTTGTGTTTTTTTGTTGGATCTATCATGGCTGCTGGGGCTGCAAGAGCATCCCACTGATTTGAACATTCTGTGAAAGCAGGATTGTGTATTCCTGCTGAATCACAAAGTGTTTCTGGTAGGATATGTCTTGCAAGGATGTACGATGTATGAGGGGGGAGGAAAGAAAAGGATGACTGGTAGAGCAATCTAGGAGGCTGTGCAGACACCCAGGCCGCTGAGTCTTACAGGGAGTATTGCTTTCTCCCATTGAGAGTCAACCAACAGAAGGATGAAGACTTTCTTCTGCAGGGACTTCAGAAGGGTATCATAGTCATTTAATTTTGGGTTGCTGTTGAATGGAGAACACCTCAGAAAGTAAGTCAACTTAGGAAGAGATAGGCATCTTGTGAGGAAGAAGAAAGCATCATGGGAATTAATCTTGTCAATCCTGCCAAACATTCTCCTTAGATCAGTAATTTAGCATCCAGGACCTCGATTGCTTGCATGGGGGCCCCCAGGAGGGTGCAGTCAGGTGGCTCGTCAACAGTTTTTATTTGGTCAGTAATGTCTGGGTTGCTGGAGACTATTTAACATTTGAATGCATTGAGAATGAGGCCCAAGGTTGTTCATTGCTCCCAGATTTACCTTATATCCTCCAAAATGGTATCTAGGGTTCCAGCGAGAGTGACATCATCCAGGTACCAGATGTTTAGCTCGCTTGTGAGACTATCAGTGACCTCTTTAATAGCTAAGCAGAAAAGAAGCGGGTTAAGGGACTTGTTCTACTCCTTCACAGGAGTCTATTTCATGTTCCCCAAAAAGAAGCTTAAAGAGTCCCCACGGTAGTACAATTGGATGGTTGGGTAAAGGGGAAGGAAATGGTTGTATACAGCACTGAGGACAGCGTCTCTTCTGACTTGATTGAAGGCATTTTTAAAGTCAAGCTTTACTAGGGCCTTTTGGTCCAAGAGATTAACAATGTAGGCATGTGCTGCGTGTGCTACAGCTTCACAACTTAGGGATATCCCAAACCCGAGCTCATTAGGTTAAAGTAAGGTCGCTGTTTCCTGGCTAATTGATATCACTGCAGCCTTAACTATGAGGCGTCGGAGGGTGTTGCCAACGGCAATTGGCCTGATTCCCCTAACCTTCTTCTTTAGAGCACAAAGTGCTGCTCCATGAAAGAGAGGCCTGATGTCCTTAGGGATGCAGACAAGTACCAGATGTTGGAGATAATAATTAGTATAGTATAATTAGACAAGACAAGTACATTTTGGAGAATCTGGTAAGTTCATTAGAAGGTCTTTTGCGGCATCTTCAAGGGCTGGTTTAGCATTTGTTTGATGTGGTGGGGTCCTAGGCCTGTGAAGTGCCCTGCTGAACCTGTTGGGAAAGACATGACTGCTCTGTGCACCTCAGATTCTTGAACACTTAAAGGTTCTATGTCAGTAATATTTTCATGGGGATCCCGGATAGGGAGCCGGTCGGCCGAGCGGACAGCACGCTGGACTTGTGATCCTGTGGTCCTGGGTTCGATCCCAGGCGCCGGCGAGAAACAATGGGCAGGGTTTCTTTCACCCTATGCCCCTGTTACCTAGCAGTAAATAGGTACCTGGGTGTTAGTCAGCTGTCACGGGCTGCTTCCTGGGGGTGGAGGCCTGGTCGAGGACCGGGCCTCGGGGACACTAAAAAAAAAGCCCCGAAATCATCTCAAGATAACCTCAAGAAGATTCCTGGTACTGTCTGGAGCTCTATGTGGGTGTTTGTCCTGTAGAGCCTGTGCTGTCTTGCTGTTCCTGGGGGCAATAGTGTCATCGCTGGTTGTTATTCTCATTGCACCTGTTTTATTGCCCTCTTCTATTTTCCTGGTGATCTATGCTCTCATTTTGTGGTTCTCAAGTGAGCTATTGTTGGTCGTCCTGCGGCTGGTGTTCTTGGCACGAATGGGGAGGCGGACCAGGTGGTCTTCTGGAGAATTCATTGAGAGCTCTTATTACTGCGTTTTCTAAGGCCTTGACTCTCCTCGGCGGTAATGCTAGGCATGCATTCTCAAATAGTAGGAGATTGTGCCATTCTCCAATGGTTCTAGGAGCATTGGATGAAATTTCTCAGCAGACTGGTGAGTTTGGCAGCTGCTTGGTGACGGGCAGCCTTGGGAATGTGGGGCAAGGTCCTATGGGACGTCTCATTGACTGCTACAGGCAGATTATCTGCTGAGATAAAGTTGAGAGAGGTATTGTTCCTCGCAATCAGAGCAGGTTGTCAGTTGTCACTGTCCCGGGGCAGGGGCCTGGATCCTAGGCAGCGACCTAAATTTGATAGAATGTTGGCGAACAGTTTCATCATGATTGAGACGGAACCGTCTGTCACATACTTGACAGTTTCCTCTTGGATGTTCCCTTTCTTGGCTGGAAGGGGACTGTGTGACGTGTGCGACATGCGCTATGCTTAGATGTTTCGACGCCTGGCTGCCCACTCAGTGCACACTCTCCTTCCCTTCCGAATGGAGTGCAACATGGCATGCATTGCCCTCCTAAGGAGTTGGACATCCCCTGGGCACCGTGTGTGGGTAGGCTTGTGTTGATGGGCGGCTAGGTCAGGCGCAGGTAGCCGGGTGGGAGAAGTTGCTGGGTGGGCTTTGCTGGGGGCAGGGGGTAATAGAGGGGGCAAACGAAGGATGCCGCTGTCACAATTATTATAGAATTTAAACACTTGAGAAATCACTAGTGCACATTTATTTCAACAGTACACTCACCGAATTTGATTGGGAACGCACTGCCCACGGCTATCATCTGCTTGAGAGCCTCCCCATAATTTCCCCCTTTCCCTGCGGCTGCCTCCCAGCCTGTGGGCTGGTGTGTGTGGAAGGCATGGGACGATTACCTCACCCTCACCACCCAGACCATCGGAACCAATATAGAAGCAGCAAGAGGATAAATATATATATATATATATATATATATATATATATATATATATATATATATATATATATATATATATATATATATATATATATATATATATATATATATATATATATATATATATATATATATATATATATATATATATTAATTGGTTTCTTTTTTAAAAAGGTTTATAAAAGTAGTTTTAATCTCATTTGGGAGGAAAATACTGGCATGGAAATACGCTGTATGATTTATGAAATATATTACTGGGTTAGACATGGGATTGTTGGGTTGTTTCAAGTGCATGTTAGACATGAATATGAATTAGTTTGGGTGGATATAAATATGTTACCTTTCATAGGCGAAAGGGCCATCACCTATTTCAAGTATTTATATGATCCTAAACATGTATATACATGACCAACCTGTATATAAATGAATTCCTTGAAATATGTTGATTGTATTAGCCTCAGGCCATATATAGTTCCTTTCATTTCCAAATAATTATATTGTGTATATAATATATACACAATATATATATTTAATTATCGTTAAAATGTTACCATTCTTTAAGAAAAAATTATATGACTATGATATAGGTACATAAAATATAGAAAAATATTACCATTCAGGTTAGATTTATAATGTGTTCTAGATCCAGTACAAGAGCTCAGTGGGTCTGTGTGCCTCTATTTGACTAAATTAATCTTAAATTTGCAGGTCAGATTGTGAGTGTTGAAGATGGGTACTGCAGTGCACTTTTTACAGAAAAATTACTAATGTACTGTACTATGTGTGTGAGAAGATGTATGGCACCTTTACCCTGCCCCAACTGCAAAATGGTAAGAATAAAAATAATAATAATGATTTTAAGAAGAGTACATAATATTTTCAATGAAACGATACATAGGTGAAAAAAGAGCAATATTAAACCCGTAAATATGCAGAATATTTCGGTTATAATGTAAAAATAATTAAAATGCAAATATGACCTAATCGAACCTATCTTAAACTACCTCAAACTAAAATAACCAAGTCAGTAATTCATGTTCGTAATATAATATTACAATAATAATTCATATAATATAATTAGAAATGTTTCGTTTAAAATAAAGAAAATAAGGCCTATTAGGCAAATCAGGCCTTGCATACTGAGACTGAGTAGTGCATTCTGGCAATTAGGTACAATTAGGTATATATATATATATATATATATATATATATATATATATATATATATATATATATATATATATATATATATATATATATATATATATATATATATATATATATGTCGTACCTAGTAGCCAGAACTCACTTCTCAGCCTACTATTAAAGGCCCGAGTTGCCTAATAAGCCAAGTTTTACTGAATTAATATATTTACTATAATTTTTTTCTTATGAAATGATAAAGCTACCCTTTTCACTATGTATGAGGTCAATTTTTTTTTATTGGAGTTAAAATTAACGTAGATATATGACCGAACCTAACCAACCCTACCTAACCTAACCTAACCTATATATATAGGTAAGGTTAGGTTAGGTAGCCAAAAAAAGCTAGGTTAGGTTAGGTTAGGTAGGTTAGGTAGACGAAAAAACATTAATTCATGAAAACTTGGCTTATTAGGCAAATCGGGCCTTGCATAGTAGGCTGAGAAGTGAGTTCTGGCTACTAGGTACGACATATATATATATATATATATATATATATATATATATATATATATATATATATATATATATATATATATATATATATATATATATATATATATATATATATATATATATATGTCGTACCTAGTAGCCAGAACGCACTTCTCAGCCTACTATGCAAGGCCCGATTTGCCTAATAAGCCAGGTTTTCATGAATTAATGTTTTTTCGACTACCTAACCTACCTAACCTAACCTAACCTAACCTAACTTTTTCGGCTACCTAACCGAACCTAACCTATAAAGATAGGTTAAGTTAGGTTAGGTAGGGTTGGTTAGGTTCGGTGATATATCTGCGTTAATTTTAACTCCAATAAAAAAAATTGACCTCAAACATAGTGAAATAGGTAGCTTTATCATTTCATAAGAAAAAATTAGAGAAAATATATTAATTCAAGAAAACTTGGCTTATTAGGCAAATCGGGCCTTGCATAGTAGGCTGAAAAGTCCGTTCTGGCTACTAGGTACGACATATATATATATATATATATATATATATATATATATATATATATATATATATATATATATATATATATATATATATATATATGTGTCGTACCTAGTAGCCAGAACGCACTTTTCAGCCTACTATGCAAGGCCCGATTTGCCTAATAAGCCAAGTTTTCCTGAATTAATATATTTTCTCTGATTTTTTTCTTATGAAATGATAAAGCTACCCATTTCATTATATATGAGGTCAATTTTTTTTTATTGGAGTTAAAATAACGTAGATATATGACCGAACCTAACCAACCCTACCTAACCTATCCTAACCTATTTTTTATAGGTTAGGTTAGGTTAGGTAGCCGAAAAAGTTAGGTTAGGTTAGGTAGGTTAGGTAGTCGAAAAACAATTAATTCATGAAAACTTGGCTTATTAGGCAAATCGGGCCTTGCATAGTAGGCTTAGAAGTGCGTTCTGGCTATTAGGTACGACATATATATATATATATATATATATATATATATATATATATATATATATATATATATATATATATATATATATATATATATATATGTCGTACCTAGTAGCCAGAACTCACTTCTCAGCCTACTATTCGAGGCCCGATTTGCCTAATAAGCCAAGTTTTCCTGAATTAATATATTTACTATAATTTTTTTCTTATGAAATGATAAACCAACCCTTTTCTCTATGTATCAGGTCAATTTTTTTTTATTGGAGTTAAAATTAACGTAGATATATGACCGAACCTAACCAACCCTACCTAACCTAACCTAACCTATATTTATAGGTAAGGTTAGGTTAGGTAGCCAAAAAAAGCTAGGTTAGGTTAGGTTAGGTAGGTTAGGTAGACGAAAAAACATTAATTCATGAAAACTTGGCTTATTAGGCAAATCAGGCCTTGAATAGTAGGCTGAGAAGTGCGTTCTGGCTACTAGGTACGACATATATATATATATATATATATATATATATATATATATATATATATATATATATATATATGTCGTACCTAGTAGCCAGAACTCACTTCTCAGCCTACTATGCAAGGCCCGATTTGCCTAATAAGCCAAGTTTTCATGAATTAATGCTTTTTCGTCAACCTAACCTACCTAACCTAACCTAGCTTTTTTTGGCTACCTAACCTAACCTTACCTATAAAGATAGGTTAGGTTAGGTTAGGTAGGGTTGGTTAGGTTCGGTCATATATCTACGTTAATTTTACCTCTAATAAAAAAAAATTAACCTCATACATAGTGAAAAGGGCAGCTTTATCATTTCATAAGAAAAAAATTATAGAAAATATATTAATTCAGGAAAACTTGGCTTATTAGGCAAATCGGGCCTTGCATAGTAGGCTGAGAAGTGAGTTCTGGCTACTAGGTACGACATATATATATATATATATATATATATATATATATATATATGTCGTACCTAGTAGCCAGAACTCACTTCTCAGCCTACTATTCAAGGCCCGATTTGCCTAATAAGCCAAGTTTTCCTGAATTAATATATTTACTATAATTTTTTTCTTATGAAATGATAAAGCAACCCTTTTCTCTATGTATGAGGTCAATTTTTTTTATTGGAGTTAAAATTAACGTAGATATATGGCCGAACCTAACCAACCAAACCTAACCTAACCTAACCTATATTTATAGGTATGGTTAGGTTAGGTAGCCAAAAAAGCTAGGTTAGGTTAGGTTAGGTAGGTTAGGTAGACGAAAAAACATTAATTCATGAAAACTTGGCTTATTAGGCAAATCGGGCCTTGAATAGTAGGCTGAGAAGTGCGTTCTGGCTATTAGGTACGACATATATATATATATATATATATATATATATATATATGTCGTACCTAATAGCCAGAACGCACTTCTCAGCCTACTATTCAAGGCCCGATTTGCCTAATAAGCCAAGTTTTCATGAATTAATGTTTTTTCGTCTACCTAACCTACCTAACCTAACCTAACCTAGCTTTTTTTGGCTACCTAACCTAACCTTACCTATAAATATAGGTTAGGTTAGGTTAGGTAGGGTTGGTTAGGTTCGGTCATATATCTACGTTAATTTTAACTCCAATAAAAAAAATTGACCTCATACATAGAGAAAAGGGTTGCTTTATCATTTCATAAGAAAAAAATTATAGTAAATATATTAATTCAGGAAAACTTGGCTTATTAGGCAAATCGGTATATATATATATATATATATATATATATATATGTCGTACCTAATAGCCAGAACTCACTTCTCAGCCTACTATGCAAGGCCCGATTTGCCTAATAAGCCAAGTTTTCCTGAATTAATATATTTTCTCTAATTTTTTTCTTATGAAATGATAAAGCTACCCATTTCATTATGTATGAGGTCAATTTTTTTTATTGGAGTTAAAATTAACGTAGATATATGACCGAACCTAACCAACCCTACCTAACCTAATCTAACCTATCTTTATAGGTTAGGTTAGGTTAGGTAGCCGAAAACGTTAGGTTAGGTTAGGTAGGGTAGGTAGTCGAAAAAACATTAATTCACGAAAACTAGGCTTATTAGGCAAATCGGGCCTTGCATAGTAGGCTGAGAAGTGAGTTCTGGCTACTAGGTACGACATATATATATATATATATATATATATATATATATATATATATATATATATATATATATATATATATATATATATATATACATATATATATATACATATACATATATATATATATATATATATATATATATATATATATATATATATATATATATATATATATATATATATATATATATATATATATATATATATATATATATATATATATATATATATATATATATATATATATATATATATATATATATATGTCGTACCTAGTAGCCAGAACTCACTTCTCAGCCTACTATTCAAGGCCCGATTTGCCTAATAAGCCAAGTTTTCCTGAATTAATATATTTACTATAATTTTTTTCATATGAAATGATAAAGCTACCCTTTTCACTATGTATGAGGTCAATTTTTTTTATTGGAGTTAAAATTAACGTAGATATATGACCGAACCTAACCAACCCTACCTAACCTAACCTAACCTATATATATAGGTAAGGTTAGGTTAGGTAGCCAAAAAAGCTAGGTTAGGTTAGGTTAAGTAGGTTAGGTAGACAAAAAAACATTAATTCATGAAAACTTGGCTTATTAGGCAAATCGGGCCTTGCATAGTAGGCTGAGAAGTGAGTTCTGGCTACTAGGTACGACATATATATATATATATATATATATATATATATATATATATATATATATATATATATATATATATATATATATATATATTATATTTATATATTGAACTCTTCCTCGTGAAGGGTTCAAACCTTAGACAACCAGGTGCTCCAATAGCTTGTCGCGTATTATGACCAATACACCATGGCAGACTGTTAAAAAATGTTAGTAGTTGGAGACCATTTATTCTAACATCCAGCAGCACTCACTGTGGCCAGAAATCACAGATAATTGTCATCATATCAATTCACTATATGATGTGATATTGATATGATGTGATATTTTATACATTGACTTTAGCAAAGCTTTTGTTACTGTGCCACATGAAAGACAGATTAAAGAAATAGAGGCTCATGGCATTGGATGGCTCATGGTAATATTAAGTTGGATTAAGGCAGAGCTATACAAAAGGAAACAGTGAGATAGTATAAATGGGGTTAAGAACGTAAGAACAAAGGTAACTGCAGAAGGCCTATTGGCCCATACGAGGCAGCTCCTATCTATAACCTCCCAATCCCACTCATATACATGTCCAACCCACGCTTGAAACAATCGAGGTACCCCCACCTCCACCACATTACGCAGTAATTGGTTCCACAAATCAACAACCCTGTTACCGAACCAGTATTTACCCAAGTCTTTCCTAAATCTGAACTTATCCAATTTATACCCATTGTTTCGTGTTCTGTCTTTGTGTTGATACTTTTAATACCCTATTAATATCCCCTTTGTTATGTCCATTCATCCACTTGTAAACCTGTCATGTCACCCCTAACTCTTCGCCTTTCCAGTGAATGCAATTTAAGTTTTGTTAATCTTTCTTCATATGAAAGATTTCTGATTTGTGGAATTAACTTAGTCATCCTACACTGGACACGTTCAAGTGAATTTATATCCATTCTATAGTACGGCAACCAAATGGTTAAGTCAGACTGGGAAAATATTGTAAGTGGAGTGCCTCAAGGCTCTATCCTGGGACCTCTGTTATTCATAATATATATAAATGATTTAGATTCAAGTTTGAGCAGCATGAGTCTGGCAACCAGGAGGCCTGGTCGACGACCGGGCCGCGGAGACGCTAAGCCCCGGAAGCATCTCAAGGTAACCTCAAGGTAACATTATTTGAACAATTTGCCAATGATACAAAAATCGGTAGGGAAATAAACACGGAAAAAAACTCATTATCACTTCAAGGCGATCTGGGTAGGGTTTTGAAATGGTCAAAAGATTGGCAGATGAAGTTTAATGCTGACAAAAGTAAGGTTTTGAGGCTAGGTAATGATGATAAGAGTTTCAAGATACGAGATAGATGGTGTTGAGATTGTGAAGTCGGATCTGGTAGTTATGAATAGTAAGAATTTAAAACTAAAAAATCAATGCATAAATGTTCGTAATAATGCAAATAGGACACTGGGATTTATTAATCTAGGCGTTAGTAACAAGACAACTGGTGTTGTTCTTCAGCTATATCTTGCTCTGGTTAGGCCCCATCTGGATTATGCAGTTCAGTTTTGGTCACCGTACTATAGAATGGATATAAATTCACTTGAACTTGAATGGATATAAATTTACCATCACGAGCATACATTTCACTTCTTCCATAGAAGTGTTCCCAGTTGCCTATGAAAGATATTGCATTTGATTTGCAATATCTTTCCAGCCTGCAATTGACACCAAGTGCCCTCGACAACCATTCATTCCCAACGATCCTTCTTGGAAGAATGCCACATATGATCGGGACTCCTCTCTTGCTCCTAACTAATTCTATGGCTTTGTTATATTTCTGTATCGGTTCCTCACTCCTAACTCGTCCAACATCATTACCCCCTGCATTAATACAAATAATGGGTTTGTTTCCATTTCCCGTCATAATATATTTCATGTTGTCAACAATATCTCCAATTCCAGCTCCCGGATAGCAAACTCAACCTGTTCCCCCTATCTCTGGCACAAAACGTCCTGTCTAAATACCTCCCCTGGGAATCTCCCACAACCAAAATTCTCTTAGTTACCTCCTTAACTTTCTGAGCACTAAATTTTTAAGTGAATTTATATCCATTCTATAGTACGGCGACCAAAACTGAACTGCACAATTTAAATGGGGCCTAACCAGAGCAAGGTATAGCTGAAGAACAACACCAGGTGTCTTGTTACTAACGCTTTGATTAATAAATCCCAGTGTCCTATTTGCCTTATTACGAACATTCATGCATTGATCCTTTGGTTTTAAATTCTTACTAATCATAACTCCCAGATCCCTTTTGTAATTTGACTTCGCAATCTCAACACCATCCAGCTCGTATTTTGTAACTCTATCATCATTACCTAGCCTCAAAACTTTACATTTATCAGCATTAAACAGCATCTGCCAATCTTTTGACCATTTCAAAACCGTATTTAGATCAACTTGAAGTGATAGTGAGTCTTCCGTGATAATTTTCCTACCGATTTTTGTATCATTGGCAAATTTGCAAATGCTCCTACTCAAAACTGAATCTAAATCATTTATATATATTATAAACAACAGAGGTCCCAGGACAGAACCTTGAGGTACACCACTAACAACATTTTCTCACTCTGACTTAACCCCATTTATACTAACTCTCTGTTTCCTTTGGTATAGCCAATGCCTAATCTAACTTAATATAGCACCCCTAATGCCATGAGCCTCTATCTTTTTAATCAGTCTTTCATGTGGCACTGTATCAAAAGCTTTGCTAAAGTCAAGGTACACAACATCACAATCCTTACTACTATCAACTACCCTGTGGTATATCTCCTTTGTTATATCCATTCATCCGCTTGTAAACCTCCACCGCTTCAGTGGAAGTCTTTGGATCCTCATGGGGGGTAGTAGCACTCCAAGTTGCAATTATTGTACCATGTCATGGTACAGTTGATTAAAGCGCGTCTGGAAACATCCAGCGCATAGGTTCGAACCCTCATCATGGCCCTTGTGAATTTGTTCATTATATATATTGTTATTGTAACCATGGATATTCTAAACAATTACACTACTTTAGGAGTTTAGACCTTCTCTCTTTATATATATGTGTCCAAATCGTCTACAAATAACCTATGATATATTTTGTTTATTTTAAAAAATAAACCGTGTTCACCTAATTTGTAGGTATCTTTGTACAGTAAATTAAGTCATATCTGTATAAAGATAATTTCTTTCAAATAATTTGATTTTTTTTAGGTGATATTTTGTAGCGAGGAGTGTCGGAAACTAGGGTTATCAAGCATCCATTGGCAAGAATGCCCTGTTGTGTCAGCCTTTTGTCTGCTGGACATGGGAAGAGTTCTTACATTAGCATACAGAATAATGATGAAGACCTCTCATGCTAAGCTCAAAGAGATGATACCACTACTGCGACGTGAGGCCAAAGAACAGCCTCCCGAGAATCTCGGATTCAATCGAAATGGTATCTATGATTCATCAGATTATAGAGCAGTGTATCACCTGACAACTAACCAAGAAAAGCTATCTTCACAAGAACTGTTTAAGAGATGCATTCAAGCTTTTATTGTAACCAAACTTCTGCAGCTGAGTGGTCGATACTTCCTCAGTTGTGATGGTGAGCCCTTCATTCCAAGTCACGAAGACATCATCCTGACTGGCAGCACACTCATCCATCATATGATGGTCCTCCAGTGCAATAGTTATTGCATTTCAACTCCCATGGTAAGCCTTCCAGATTATTATTTTGTTCTCAAACCTTACCTCAGCATACACTGTCCTCACCTTAGGTACTTGTTTTGCTGATTGGACTAATTATTTAAATGTTTGTTTTACATATAATAACCATTGCATTTCATAATGTACATTTATGTTTGCTTAACTAGGCTACTGTTTTTGTTTGCAGTTTTCCTCCTTGACATAGTGCATATTTTTAATATATAGAATCTTTTTCATTTCTAGTTTAATGTGAGTGGCAACAAGAAACCTCATATGGAATTATATGGCAAGGGAGTTTACTCTGCATCAAGTCTTCTGAATCACTCCTGCAATCCAAATTGTACTTATATTTTTTATGGTACAACTACCACAGTAAGAACAATGCAATTCATTCCCGCTGGCAAGTCATTAACCATCACGTATGGAGCACTTTGTAGTGAAGACAGAAGAGATTCCAGAAGGTTGACACTGATGACTAATTTCAATTTCACTTGTACCTGTGATGCTTGTGAAAACAACTGGCCAATTATCAGGGATTTGCCACCATTTGTAATATTAAAATGTACCAAATGCAATGAAGGCATCAATCCATGCACGAAAGTTTGCCATAATTGCAAACTGAATTATGATCAAGGAGGTATGCAGGCACGAGCTCCTTATAATTACAGGCTCATCTGGAAGAAAATACAAAAGGCTCAGGAGGATTTTTTAATTGCTAGTAAAAACATCTTGGAAGAAGGGAGTAATTCTGAAAAGGACATTAAGGCAGTACGTGCTTTAATTAAACTTTTCTGCAAGTATGTGAAGCAGCCAAGTCTTGGTCTCCTACTTGCTCAACAAACGCTATGCGTGGTCTGTTTACGTCGTGGTTCTTGTGTTTATGTTAAACATGATACTGAAAACACCCTGGTCAATCTTTTGAGTGCTGAGATGAATCGAGCCCTACAATTGTAACCATTAATTCCAAATGAGTAAATAGTAGACTATGGTAAATAACATATCTTCTACGTGTCTGTAAATGGCTTCAACTAAAAACACAAAATTTCCATATTCTAACCTTGGAGCACTAATTGTACTGAATTATGATTTGCATATGTTCTATTGTCTCTGAATTTTAGTTGGAATAAGATTTTTTTATTATTTCTTATACTCGCTGACCTTAAATCATGCGTGTAAGTAAGTTGCATATAATTTTTAGCTTTTCACATAAAATACAATGAAGTTTTGCTTATCCAGATTTCTGTAGAATAAATGAAATCTAAACTGGTTATGGAACCTTACCGTTATAAATTACTATCATCTAATCCATTAGTAAAGAATATAGATTGATAAAATTAATAAAGATGATAGAATGCCGTTTGTTTGTTTGTCCAAAGCTGGAAGGGCCTAGCTTCACCCAAATTGACAGAGATTAATGGTTTGAATGATGAAGATTAAGCTTATTTGTAGTGAATGTGGTCTTTGGTCGTGTAACATTTTTAAGTGTCTCTGGGCCCTCGTCCCCGATTTGACAGAGATAATGGTGAGACATGTCCAGGCAAACAGACTGGCAGTGTCGTCAGAATTCAATAGAAAACAGCATACCAGCATCACATTCACACCCCCAAGACGATCTTTGGCACTGCCCGCCAACTACACAGTTAAATGCCCGACAGACCACTGGAACATTATCTAACACAGTGCACAGTTACAAACCCATTAAGATTTCAACTTAGATTCAACAGAGCAGAAGTTGTTAAACACATATAGCAAAATCTTACTGAAGTGACCATACAAGTCATAAATACTCATACTCCACCCAAGTAAAACGGAAACAAGCAACACTTAGTGGGCCAGCCAGAGGTTTAGGGCCCGTGCAGGAATATCCCTGCCAAAAAAATAAATAAAAAAAAAACTTAAATATTTTCTAAACAAAGTAAACAAAATTTTGTATAGTAATATACACCATTATTCACTGATCTCTGGAAAATTAACAGAAATTTCCTGCTTTGCATAATTTGCCCGTGCTCGTATAAAACAGAAGCTCATCTGACAGATTCAAAAGTTTCTCATGCCAATTATCTCCAATCTGAGTGTAAAGCTAACTATTTTTTTTTTTTATCATTTCACACATCCCAAACTTGAAACAATTACAGTATATTTTTTTATAAGAGAGAGGCAGAGAAAGACATTAGATAAATGGATTGATTGGTGGATGTATAGATAGATGGTGGATAGATATATTGGTAGGTACATGGAGGAATAGACAGACGAGTAAATGGATGGACAGATAGCTAGATGAATAGAGATGTAGATAGATTAGTAGATGGCTGGGTTGATAGATAGGTGGATGTAATGCTGGGTAGATTGGTGGATATATGTGTGGCAGATAGATGAGTAAATGGATGGATTCATGATAAATGGATGGGTAGGTAAATGGGCAGGTAGATGGATAGATAAGGGATAGATGGATGGATATATGATATATAGATGGATAAAATGATAGGTGGATGGATATATGATAGATGGATGGATAGGTAGATGTGCAGATAGATGGATGGGGTAAATTGACTGATAGATTGATGGATAGAAAGACAGGTGAATAGATGGATTGATAAAAGGACTGATAAATGTATAGATAGATGGATAAAATGACAGATAAATGTATAGATGGATGGATAGAAGAATAGATTGAATAAATAGATAGCTATATGGATAGAGTGACTTAAATGGGTAGATAGATGGATGGATGAATGTATATGTATATATATATATATATATAAGGACATATATATATATATATATATATATATATATATATATATATATATATATATATATATATGTCGTACCTAATAGCCAGAACGCACTTCTCAGCCTACTATGCAAGGCCAGATTTGCCTAATAAACCAAGTTTTCATGAATTAATATATTTTCTCAAATTTTTTGCTTTTGAAATGATAAAGCTACCCATTTCATTATGTATGAGGTCAATTTTTTTATATTGGAGTTAAAATTGACGTAGATATATGACCGAACCTAACCAACCCTCCCTAACCTAACCTAACCTATCTTTATAGGTTAGGTTAGATTAGGTAGCCGAAAAAGTTAGGTTAGGTTAGGTTAGGTAGGTTAGGTAGTCGAAAAACAATTAATTCATGAAAACTTGGCTTATTAGGCAAATCGGGCCATGCATAGTAGGCTGAGAAGTGCGTTCTGGCTACTAGGTACGACATATATATATATATATATATATATATATATATATATATATATATATATATATATATATATATATATATATATATATATATATATATATATATATATATATATATATATATGGCCAGATAAATGAGTAGACAGATGGGTGAATGTTTAGATGGGTGGATAGATAGATGGATATATGAATGGACTGATAGATGGTTGGATAGATGAAGAGAGGTTGATAAATAGATGATGGATAGAAAGATAGTTGCATACATAGAGGGATAGATAGATGGGCAGATATATAGATTGCTAAATAGATGGAGGGATAGACAGTTGCATATATAGATGAATAAATAAATGGACTGGTAGATGGATGGTTATATAAATATATATATATATATATATATATATATATATATATATATATATATATATATATATATATATATATATATATATATATATATATATATATATATATATATATATATATATATATATATATATATATATATATATATATATATATGCACAGAAAGATGGATTGATGTTTTTTTTTTTTCATGGCTATTCCTGTGCGGGTCCTAAGTCTCTGGCTGGCACACTTAAGTGTTCCTTGTTTCATGTTTCTGTTTTACTTAGGCAGAGTATGAGTATTTATAACTCGTATAGTCGCTTCAGTAAGATTTTGCCCAATGTGTTACATCTAATTGTGCTCTGTTGAATCTTAAGTTGAAATCGTATTGAGTTTGTAACTGCACTGTGTTAGATACTGTTCCAGTGGTCTGTCGGGCATTTCTCCACAGTGTTGACATTTCCTCTCATCTTCTGGAACCTGTAACCCTATATACCAGGGGTGGGCAACCTTTTTGAGAGTGTGTGCCAAATTCAGCCAAGTCTCTAACACAAACTTTTTCCACATGCCAACCATTTTTTTTAGAACATATTTGGTATATCTTAAGAACTTTTTAAACGAAAAAATAATAAATTATCTCAGTGCAGTAAAACATAGTATAAAAAAAACAAATTTTTTTTTATTTAACCTTCAGAAGTACATTTCAACAGCCTTTAAGCTTTTGTGACTTTAATAGAATGCAACAGATAAAAAACTTGTTGACTCCTTTTAGATACTGTCAGTGAGACTTCTGCTGCTGCATAACTGATGACAGAGATTTTACATCGGGTTTATATTTAGTAACATTGAGAGATATACATGCAGCGCTAGTTTCATCTGTCATGCTACTCCTGTTACGAGACTTAACAAAGTTCATAATTGAGAACAAAGATTCGCAAGCATATGTAGACGAAAACATGGTTAGCAATGTTGTTGCAAGGTTTTTTAAACAGACATAATTTTCTGGAATAGTATTCCAAGTCCTTAATACTTCGTTTTCCGCATTTCTCTTTGGTACTTTCATCTCTAATCTCTCTCTTTCAATATTTTCCAAGTCAACTCTAAGGTCAACAAATTTCTGCTTCCAAATTGAGCTACTCTGAAATTCAATCAACTGCATCTCAAAATCATCCATGTCTATCCATGAAAACATTTGCAAGTTTAGTTCATCCATTTTGATGCTGGATGAACTTTGATGTCTGGAAACTTGATGAACTTTACTGTGTCTTCCAGTTCTCTGAATTTGGCAAATCTTGTAGAGAACTGCCAAACTGTTGACTCGATAATGTTTACAAACAGCTTTTAAAGACATTTGTGGTCTGTTCTGTCATCTTTTAGATCACTGATGTACCTCTTTAGGTTTTTGACCATTTGGTCACCATTTGGTCCGGGAGACATCTCCCGTCACGCAGGGTGCAGTTGCGCCTCCATAGATCTCCAGTGCCATCTTTTTATACTGGTAATGGCTCAAAAGGGCCACCACTTACGGGCTATTCATGCCCGTGCCACCTCTTGGGTGGCTTAATCTTCATCAATCAATCAATCAATCTTTAGGTTTGGAAAGTATCTAAATCTCTCATTATCTACATCCCTCTTAAAAACTTTAAGGTTCATTTCAAAAGCTTTTATGTAACAAAACATAACATCAAGTGTCTTACCAGCGCCCTGTAACTCAATATTCAATTCATTTAAATGTTCACAAAAATCTGCAAAAAACATCAGTTTACAAACCCACACGATGTCAGAAAATTCATGGTGACACTTCTTGGTCGTTCAAATAGAGCTTTATCTCATCTAAGCATTCAATAAATCGTTTCAGAACCAAGCCTCTGCTAAGCCAACGAACATGGTTGTACATTTTCAGTCCTTTATACACAGATTCTACCTCATCCAGTAGAGTTTGAAATTGTCTTTTATTTAAAGGCCGACCACAAATGTAATTAACAACCTTGGTAACTGTTTGCATCACTTCTTGCAGTTCCTTTAGGGCAGCTTTTGCACATAAAGCATCCTCATGTATGATGCAATGGAAGCCAATCAGTGGATGACCAACACTTTTTGCAAACAGATTTACAAATCCTGCCTTCTCACCAGTCATGTTTGGGGCACAATCTGTTGTGACGGATACTACTTTTGAAATGTCAATTTGCCGAGTAGAGAATTCGTTCACAACTGTTTTACATATTTCAGCCCCGGTAGTACGCTCAGGTAGTGATGCAAGAGCAACCATCTCTTCACATACTTCATCACCCCTACAAAATCTAGAATATATGGCTAGCCTAGCTGATGATGTAATGTCTGTACTTTCATCAACACAAATAGAAAAAAACTTGCATGAAGACAAATCTTTTGTCAATTGTTCAGCTGTATTTCTTTCCAACTTAAGTATCCTATCCTTAACTGTTTTCCTACTCACAGGCAAATCTTTAATGCGCTAAATAATCTTTTTCTTTTCCTATGCTCTTGCGTGCCAGAGACAAGTCATCGGCATGCCAAGTTTGGCACGCGTGCCAGAGGTTGCCCACCCCTGCTATATACCATGCACATGGGTATCCAAGCCTGATGCGATGTAAGTGTACTTCTGTTGTTCTACTGCTCCCTTTCATCAAAATAAGTGGTTCGTAGTAGGTTGAATTCTTGTACCAACCAGTAGATCCTGATGTTACAACTGTTGTGTTATGGTCATTGTACGTCT